TAATGATCTTTCCATGTGACCTTCCATTTCATCTCAATATCTTGCCCACCTAGGTTTTGAGGGGAAAAGACCAAAAATAAGCCCCAGTGATTCCACTGCAACAACTGTTCAAATCAGCAACTTGTTAACACTAGTTCTCAAGGACACTGGATGTTAATCAGCACTTTTAAAATGCTGTCTCAAAGGAATCTGTGAAGAGTCTGCACTGAGCCAGGACCACATTTTGCCTCTATCACGTCCACTGATTTCCCTTTGTCCTTTCACAGAATGAACAAGTGAAATCATCTCTTCAACTCACTCTGTTCATGCACTTGTACAGATGAAAGGAAGGCCCTATGAAGCAGGCCTCTGCCTCACTACTCCCCTGCCTCATCCTGAGTTCACGAAGTTGTTTTGTGAATGTAAATAAGGGGTAGATCGTTGGCCTTTGAAGATTCAGATTTATTTGTTTGTTTTTCTATAGTTACTTTTTGATAAATTATATTTTCCTTCCAAGTTCAACTAAGCATCAATGTAGCTCCTTCTATTTAGCAACACATATTTGTTAACTACTCTAGCAGTTCTTAGTTCAGTGGTCCATGGATCAGAAAGCATGCATCCCAGAAGCTTGTAAGGCCTCAACCCCTCAGAGCATTCTAGTGGATACCTAGGGTTTCCATCACAGAGAGCCTCAAAGAGGTGACAGTTTCAGAGGTAGCAGAAGACTGCATTTTAAATGGCCCTTCTTATTTAAAGTGTGATGTGTCTTCTTGGCAACTATATCTGTTCTTTATACAGATTTTACAGTGAAATAAAATGTGTTGTAGTAGCTGTGTTTGAAATTTAATAAAAGGTGTGGGCAAGGGGAAGCACAAGGGCAAATGGAGGAAAGGCTCCTGATGGGGCATGCCTCTGTTGAATGACCTGGGGTGAACCTCCTTGTACAAGGGAAGTGGAGGAAAGGCTCCTGATAGGGCATGCCTCTGAATGGCCTGGGGTAGACATTGCTTACACAAGGGGAAGTGGAGGAAAGGCTCCTGATGGGACATGCCTCTGTGAATTACCTGGGGTAAACCTGCTTATACAAGGGAAGTGGAGGAAAGGCTAGGGGGTAGGGTTTACTCTGTGACTGACTTGGAGTGGACTTGCATGTAGACTCCTGGGGCTGGTACTGATCTGATCAGGCCAATCTCATGGGATATGGCAATGGAAAGAGTGTTTGCTCAACTATTTACAAATGTCAACCAATAGACTCATCAACAAGGAGTTGTGTAAATAAATGACTTAGTTTTTTAGTCCTTAGAAGTAATAAATTTGATCAGGTTATATAATATGCATCCTTCATGTCCTGCTGTTTTAATACCATAAGTTACTCTTGATACTTTATATCTTTAAATATTAAAGAAATTCACCTAAATTTTTCTTCCCATTTCCAATTCTCTTTATGTCCCACACTGTTCAAATTCTGAGCAGTCCAGTGAGGTAAAATGCCATAAGTGATATCTATATTTGGAATCTTAGGCAATGAGGGTTAGTGTGTTGCAATTAGTGAGACTGGCTCAGGAAAGGGAAGGAAGGGTTCAGAGCTGCTGTACACAGGGTTGCTATACATCGCAGGTGACTCAATGACACAACAATAACATACTATGACAGGTTTGGAAGCAGGAGTGGCATCTACTTCCTAAACCATACGCCTTCGGAAACTCTATGAACTTTGATAAATGTCAATAGTTGTAGAGGGGCTTCAGGCCTTTTGTTCATAGGGTCACTATGACCCAAAGGCAATCAACAACATTCCACTGATGATTACTAACCAATGACTATTTACAGAGATTTTTAATTTCCATTCATTCATTCATTGCTGTACTTCTTTCCCTGCCCAGCCCTCCCCCGCTCCTCCAGTTCCTTCCTCTCTCTGAAAAGTAAAACTCCTTCCCTGGTACACAATCCCCCTGGCACCCCTCCCATCGCCCCAAGTGCATTCCACTATGCAACCTTAATTGTGGACTCTTGTGATAACCATAATACCCTATCATACATTGCTTTTAAATTATTCTCCCCCTCATCTGTTTCAGTGCAGTATACACAATTTATCCAGTTTTGAGGGAAGCCGAATATAAAATTTAATAATAGACCAAATGCTGTATCGGGAAATGAGGGAAGCTTAATACAAGCTGAAGGTCACCTTGTGGCACTGGGGCAGGGCGTTCCCCAGGAGTCAACATTGTTCTTAGTTTGTGTCAAATGAATCCCTCCCTCTTGAGATTAGCATAAAGAGGAACTTGGCCTTATCTGTAAAAGATTTCACCATTATCCTTTGTTTTTGTTTTGTACTTACTTGTGATTTTACTTTGTTTACCTTCCTTATGATTCTAAATAAATACTCAGAGAAGCATGGCTTGGGGCCTTCAGTCATGGGAACTGTTGGCCCCCTGTTTTTCACACTCTCTGTTCTATATCATTCCTGGTAGTCTGTTTCATTATTAATAATTATAAAAATAATTTACCCTAGGTCTGCAACACAGTTTTTCTCAGTCTTACCCCAACCCTGATATCAGTCCCATTTTACAGCAGTGGCACCATGCAGTATTTGTCCTTGTGCGACTGAGATATTTCACTCAGCATAATGTCCTCCAGGCTCACCCATTTTGGATTTTTGAGGCTGTAAATCACATGGGAGGAGACTGCCCATCTTTCTCCCATGTAGATGATGGTGGATTATGGTGTCAATGCCTTGTTCTGCTCCTTTCCCCAGTTAAGGAATTAAACCTGGTGGGAGAGACTGGAGGAGAGGACAATGACCAAGCTACCAAAGTAGCACAGTGAAGAACAATTTCTGTTGCCCTTGGGAAAGAATAGTGGAAAGAGCACTAGGCCAAGGCCCTGTTGAGGCCACAGGCTGAAGCTTTTGTTAGAGAATGAGGGCAAGAAGAAAGGTGAGGAGGTAGATGTGGAGTTAAAAAGCAAAGATAGATTTATTAGAATAAAAACAACTATGAGATATCATTTCACCCCAGTCAAAATAGCAAAATTTAACAGAACAGGAAGCAACAAATGCTGGCGAGGTTGTGGAGAAACTGGAACCCTGATTCACTGTTGGTGGGAGTGTAAAATGGTGCAACCCCTGTGGAAAGCAGTATG